TCTACCGAATTTATGGAGTGCTCATGAATAACTGGATGTGAGGACACACAATGTACCGCGATCCAGTGCACGTTACAAAAACTGGGCAACAAAGAGCCAAGCCTCGTGTGTCAAATTCCATGTCCCTGGACAAAGTCACCTATTTGGGTCAAATCCTGCCGCAACACAAACCTCGAAAATGTGCTTCTACGTCAATTCCCAGCGCGTAAATAAAACATTTATCCGCAGCAGCATCTGAAGTTGCTTTCTTGGCACGGGACGCGCCTGGCACGGAGTTCATACACTGGCAGACAATGAGGCTGATTACAGCCGCCCTTGCCTTCCCCCGCGGGTCTCATTTCTTGATCTGTCTTGAGAGCGAGTTACGTGCACACGCGGCTGTCGTCTTTGCGGTTGGACATTCAGGAGCCAAAAAACGCCGGCGACAAAAATGAAACCCGAGCACGTGCAGGAGAACGGGCAAGCGCGGGATCTCGATAGCGTATGCCACGACAACGAGGTGGGTGTTCGGAGCAATCACGGGTGTTTGGGTGGTTTGATAAGGAGCCCCTTGAAATTATCGCGACACCAGCAATGTCATTTCCCATTCGCAACGATGTTGTAAATTGCACCCAGAAGTGCGGTACAATGGCAGGCTCGTGCATTAGCCGCGAATGAACCGTGTTCGAGAAAGAGAGAGAGAGACGGGGCCAGACGGGGAGAAGAGATGATGAGGAAGGGGAACAAAAAAAGAAAAAATACGGACAGAGTGGAGAGACAGAGAGAGATGCCAAACTGGACATCTCATCACGTCAATTACTGCAGCGGAGAAATGAAAACAGCCAGAATGCATTATGTCACCTCACAGCCGCTACGTGCATCAGAGCACAGACAGACGAAAGCACACCAGGAACGATTTTTTTTTTTTGTGACCACAGCTAAGATTTCTTATCCCACAGCTCAGGAATTATATCTGTGAAGCAAAGCGCACATTTTCAAAGAATGTAATTTACAGCTACGGGAGGGTTTCATTACAAAAAAAAAGGATGTTTAAGAATTGAGAAATGGGTCATCACCAGGGGCACAGCAATCACGTCCTAATGCTTTAATCAGCACTTTTGTGGGGAGTTCGCTGGCTTGAGGGGAGGTGGGGGCAGCACAGGTCTACCCACTCTGTCCCCACCTCTCCCCCACCGCTCCACGTGCGCTACCCCTCCCGTCCCCTGCTCCCCCCCCCCATCCACGTCCACCCCGGCCACAACTGACAGGTCGCGTCTTGGAGGCGACTGCTATTCTTTGGAGACGACCACGGACCCCCCCCCCCCTATCAGGACACAGACGTTCGCACACCGCCCCCCCCCCCCAAAAAAAAACTCTCCGTGCTGCCACCTGTTGCACACGACACGCCTGAAGGAACACGAGACGGGGCAACGTCGCGTCAGGGGGCCTCACATCAAATGCGTGTTTTTCCCATCGCGCTGCACATTTCTGTCCACGCATGATGTAAAGAGGGTCGAAAAAGAAAGGAACCATTTACGCCACTACTTCTGCCGCTGCTGTTGCTGCTGCTGCTACGGTGGTCAACAAACCCCCCCAACAATTCCCCAACCCCCCAACCCCAGCCTACCCTCCCAGGTCGCTCGCCACCCTCGAACCCCCACCAACGCGGCCCCTCCACCACGTCCCTCGGGAAAGCAGAAAGTTGAGGGGGAAATTGACAGGCAAGACGGGTGTGAAAACAGCTATTTAAAAAAAACTTGCTTCTCGTTGACACGAACATCACGAGCTTTTCGCACAAAGTCCAAAACCAATCTCGGTGCTAAAAACTTGTTTCGAGCAACCAAGGTGCTCGCTCGCACTCTGGGCCAGCCTTTTTCCCAGAAATGCAGCCCGTCTCAACGCACTTGTTTGCCGAAATCTAAATTTACTCCCGGCTCTGGATTGCACGGATCGCGTGGATGTTGCAGGGGTTAAACTTTCATCCGTCAGCGGCTCATCAGGACCAGCGCACGCCTGGGAATGCCTGCCACTCTGCCCCCACGCCTCGCGCTCTCTCTCTCTCGCTCGCACGCATTCTCTTTTGTTTATTTTTTTGTGTTCACCAATTATAGCCCAATCAAGCGGTCGGTATTCAGCAACCAAGGAGAATGTGTGCTTGCTGTACTCTAGGACCGCCAGTGCAGAGCCAATGTGTCTCGTTCTGGAATTACAAGCTATGATATTGCAGGGTTTTTGTATTTTAATGATATCCTTCAAGGGGGCCGATCTTGCACCAACCACTTTACAGCACTCGGCACGCCCATACAGGGGAGTGGTTCACCCTGTCTAACGCATTCTAGTGCATATTACGTTTAGTCGTATAATTTTGAGATGAGATGGGGTTCATGAAATCCAAAACCGAATTTCTACAATTTTGTATGCAGTCATCGGTGACTGGGGCTGAGGTTCTTTTAGCTCACTGAACACAAAACTGTGGCTTAGGAGTGCCTACACCCAGCAGTTGATAGATCATGGCTAAGGATAAGAGCTGAGAATTTTTACCTAGGACATCGGTAGTATTGGAGGATCTGGCACAGATTCAAATGTATTACACTTGCGCGTATTCTTAGGCTGACAGGTTCAAGCCCCCACAGCTGGTTTACAGAGCTCGCACAACACACAGACGCACTATCATACAAATAACACAGAAGTGAAATATGCAAACTAAAATCAAATATAAATTGGCACAGTGACTACAAATGCATTTCATCGTTAATTCATTAATTTGGCATTCAAATAGTTATTTTCTCGTGTATTCTTTTTTTTAACAGTGACCTTTTAAAAAAAAACCCAACCGTAAATTTTGGATGATTTTTTTACGCGTGAACTTCAATGCTAATCAAGAAAATCCTGAATACATTGTTTCATAAATATTTTATTACCTTGCAAAATTCTCACTTTCATTTTTTTGTAATCTTGCCTTTAGCACGAATCAAAGGGCGGCAATGAAGAAACAAAGGCTGACAATGCTTTTCCACCACCTCCCTTGGCAAGCACTGTTCTTTAATTTCCACATGGTATAATTTCTACATGGTAAGCCACTTCTTTGAGCTATCATCAATTGTGGCCAGGTCGGTTCTAAATAGAACAGCTATATAGCTCAGTGGGCCTTACTTGGTGAAATAAAATAAGTTTATTTTAGTTTTTGTTCGTTTAGTTTAACGGAAATATACACATCATCATCAGCAGCAGCAGATTTAATCTATCCACTGCTGGCGGTCGTGCACAGTTTATGACTGAAATACTTTTCCACCATCAACTTCAACAAGCACTGACACTTTAATAGAAATATACACACCACCATCATTATTAACATTAGCCTTGATCTATCCACAGCTGGAAGAACACCTCCCCGAGCTGACAGCAATATAACAATGGTATAATCAATGTCTAAAGTATTCTATATTCTAAATTGTACACTCAATCAATGTCGATGTGGTTTCCCTCCTTGAGTGAGCATGGTGCAGCCCTTAGCCTGTGGTGGAAATTCCACAGTCATATGGTGGGGGCAAGTATTTTCATTAGACGATCACTGTTGACTTCTCACAGAGCAGGACTCAATGTATCTACCGCAGCAGGATTGAACTTCCAACCTTCTGAAAGGAAGCCACAAACTCCACCGCTGTGCCACCCAGCCAGACATAATATACAGCCATGTACTGTACATAATAGACGAATATTTTTCAGACAAATGTTCTACTCTGGAGAACCACAGGCTCAACCCATTGTGGTTTTTTTGTATAATACATTACACCAGGGGCCAGATTCATATCTTATAATGTATTAACAGCAATGGCCAGACTTACAAGTTGACAAAACAACCAATACACATCACCTTGGCGATTTGCCACACTGTTGACATGAAGACCACTGCAAGTTTATAGAAGTATAAAAAAAACATAGGACAATTGGAAACATTCGCCACGTTAATACTGTATCTGTATTTTCCCAGTCATAAGGCAGCGTGTTGATGATGGAGTCAAGCTCTGCCAACGTTAACAAAGTACATATCAGGTCACTCTTCGGTTGCACTGGAAATACAGCATGGGGCACAGACAGCGCCTGATAATCACTGAGTTTAACGCAAGCCACAAATATGGGCTTTCACAGGCGCCAAGTGTTGTTACACGCAGCTGATTGGTGCAACACATGAAGATACCTATTTTCTTGATGCGCCTAAACTGCCTGCATCGCCCTTGCAATTATGTTTCCGCATAATCGCACAACTTGCACACACTGTATGTATGTTGAACCTCTTTCGGACCATACGTAACCAATCGTGCTAATCCGAGGTGTGGGGGAAGGACAAAAAACGAAACATAATAAGCAGTTCTCAAGAACTTAGTTTTCAATCTAGATACAAAAGTAGCTGCAGTGGCTTCCTAATGTCGGAAGGAAGAGCATCCCAGACAGCCGGAGGAGCGCACCTGAAAGCGTGCGATGTGGTGACTGTCTTTGTTTAATGGCTGACCGGAGCTCGCGTAATGTTTAGGTGTAACAGAGCGAACTGACCGAGCACAATTTTCCATGGTACCCAGCGTAATAATTCAATCAATAATCTTTTTTTTAAGTTGTCTGGGTGCCTGGCGCAGGACGGCAGGGTTCGTGAGTGCGGAGTCGGATCGAGTCAGCAACCGCCTCACGAATAAATGAGAGAAGAACGGAGTGAGCGCAATCACCGTGGTTTCCCTACTGCGAGCATCTTCAGGAGTTGAAGGTGCCCAGCAGTAATGCTGAAAGCTTCAGAGAAGAAATACTCAACGTGCCCCCCCCCAACTTCCGATTAGCACGGTTGGTTACATACCGAGCGAAAGAAGTTCATTAGTTCAAAAGTTCAGTTCCAGTCCGCACTTGAATTCCACCACGTTTGAAAGCATCCACAAAGTGCGTCCGAAATCGTGGAATCGCCTGTCCCCACATCCAACTCCCCCCCCCCCTCTAAACCGCCCCCTCTCAGGCGAGGAGGGCGACCGCTCACTCACCCTGACGGCGTCGTTTCCACCGCGTAGAATCACGCCGTCCTTCTTCCACGAGACGGTCGGCTCGGGGTGGCCGCGTGGCGGCACGCACTCCAGCATGGCCGCCTCCCCCGCCGCCGCCACCACGTCGGCCGGCTGCTGCCGGAAGTCGTCGCGTAGCACTGGGGGCAACGGGCACGGGCGAGAAATAAAACGTCAGAATTCGATTTTTTTTTTTTTTGCATCGTCACTGTCCAGGAAAGCACGCGTGTCTCACGTTTATCCGAGTGACACGTGATATGCAATGTCTACTGATGTATAGCTGCTCACGTGTCAATTGAACACGGTTCATATGTCAACTTACGTAACATATGCCAGTTTTCTCTGGGCCCCACAGAGTAAAATGCAATCCCAAAACTATAATTCAGTTCATAACCCTCTGCTCTATTCCTCTGCTCTGAAGAAAAACTAGTGCTTTAAACTTCAGATGGGCTATGCATTTTTCTGTTGTAAGGCAATGCTAATTAACGTGTTTTTATATATATAAAGTACTTTTCCTCAACGTAATCTTTTATGTATTATTATAATGCTTGTTTACCCAGGAAAACCTCACTGAGTCTCAAGACTATTTTTCAGGAGGGTCCTGCCAAGTTTTTGCAGTAAGGGGGGGAGACCTTGCTATGTATAATGCCAATTTAGTCATTTGCAGGAAATGTTTCAGTAACGGGAAGTTTTTTTTGGCCAATACCACTTACAATGTATGCTTGTTGATCTTATTTAGCGGGGGGAAAACGATATCGCAATCACTTAATTATTTGAGTAAGTATTGGGCCTTACAATGTGCAGTAGTGTGTATTTATTTAGATTTTTTTTCTTATTCTGCATACCAATGGATGCACACTCTACATGCATACACACACATGATACTGGAATCACATAAAAGCATGTGAGCACACAATATAACCCCAAAGCCTTACATGCTTATACTTATGAGCGACAGCAAAAAATTGTTTTAGAATAAAACCTCCAAACGATTTGCACCAGCGTCATATTTGTATCATACTCTTATATAAGCGCACAACTTCATCTATCTGTGATGAACACTGCACTTTCCGTCGTTTTCATGCGGGGGGCGCTGTAAACCTACGCGCACCCTGCATGAACGATGGAGACGCAGGGACAGACGTTCGATTACGTTGGAATCGATCTGCAGACGGCGGTCTTTTCGCACGGCCAGCTCTGTGTCGCCTTATCTCGATCCCGCAATCCCAAACAGGTGAAAGTCCGCATCGAACCGAACCCCCAGCAAGGCCATCTACTTAACGATGAGAGAAGATTTACACGAAATGTCCTTTTTAATGAAGTCTTCAGATGTAAAATTACATAAGCTTTTAATGAAGAAATAAAATTATCAAATTCAAAACACAATACAATTCAATGCGTCGTTCGTGTGTAATTTTTTTAGTGACTTCCCTGGCCGAAGGCCGTAAATGGTTGTGAGGGCGCCAAAGGTGCCCCCGAACAACCCCTAGTTTTAATATATACGTTTGTACAAACCTTAAAAAGTTACCTAATAAGTGCAATGACGTCCTTACGATAACGGCGTAAATTAAGCTGTGCAAACTTGCATCTTGATTGATAATGCGTCAAACCTTTGTGACGACTCGTCATATCTTAACGTGCAGAACTAAAACTATCAAAAGTGAAGTCTCTCCCAGATATGTTCTTACAACTCAGTCTGAAGCCTGGACAGATAATTGATGCGTGATTAATTCTCACCCCATTCCTCAAATTAAGTGCTATAGTGCAAGACCCCATGGGGGAAGTGGATTTTTTTTTTACGTCCAATAAAGGTGTTAAATTATCCAGTTGAGATCCCGCACACATAGCTTTAATTACGTATCTCGTATAGTTTTAAAATAACTCCGTTGTTAGTCACTCAGGAATTTGGTATGACGACAGACGTAGGGCCTCGGTTATGCCGTTTGTAAACTTGTTAGCACTAATCCGGGCCTGGGAGACAGCGGAAAGCCTGCAACTTCTCAACTTTTTGAGAGCACACAGTGGAAACCAGAACTCCCTGATAAAATTGCAAGTATCCCGACTGATGGATATTTACAATATGCTTTAATAAAAGCACCGCGTGCAAAAATACGGGCAGGGCTCTAAGGGATGCACGATATGAAGCCTGAGACAGCTCAAGGCCCAGTGATATGATTTCCTCGGAGACGGAGGTGCAACCCTGCCTCCTCCGCTGCAAACATCGCATCGTCTTTTCCACCAATGATAGTGCTCCCCAAATCCGAGCGAAATCCTTTATCTGTGTCTCTCACCCCCAGCCGACACACAACACAACCACACCACGTTGTCCGGCCCCAGTCGGCCTACAACACTGCCACACGACATCACCCACCCCCTAGTCAGCCCACGACATCGCCCCACCACATCACCCACTCCCGTGTGACCCAGAACACCACACGACATCACCCACTCCCATGTGACCCAGACACCACGCGACATCACCCACCCCCTAGTCAGCCCACGACATCGCCCCACCACATCACCCACTCCCGTGTGACCCAGAACACCACGCGACATCACCCACTCCCGTGTGACCCAGAACACCACACGACATCACCCACCCCCTAGTCAGCCCCCGACATCGCCCCACCACATCACCCACTCCCATGTGACCCAGAACACCACGCGACATCACCCACTCCCGTGTGACCCAGACACCACGCGACATCACCCACCCCCTAGTCAGCCCACGACATCGCCCCACCACATCACCCACTCCCATGTGACCCAGAACACCACGCGACATCACCCACTCCCATGTGACCCAGACACCACGCGACATCACCCACTCCCGTGTGACCCAGAACACCACACGACATCACCCACTCCCGTGTGACCCAGAACACCACGCGACATCACCCACTCCCATGTGACCCAGAACACCACGCGACATCACCCACCCCCAGGTGGTCCACTACACCACCCCCCACCTCCATCGCCCGCGGGCTACACAAGCTTCAGATTCAGCTCCAAATTCCGTCGACGACTTTATGGAGCAATAATTTCCATGGCATCGATTCATAGTTTTCATTTTATTTTACCCTTCTAAATTTAACTTGATTGCCTTATTTAAAATAAAAATTTATGTTTCACAAGAATGTCTGGTGCTATACGGGCGTAAAAAAAAACTCTGTATGGCGTAATGTTTACACGTCGCTTTGGCATGAATCGCTGCCAGAGCTATTACCTCAATACTTTTATTCAATTACAGCGAAAGGCGGCGGCTCACATGATAAACTATCAGAGCCCGGTGGCGCGCGAGCTCACGCGCGCGCATACTCAGACACAGATTGTGCCTGAACGCAAACACTCAAGGGCTTCCATGCAGACGGGCCCGCATGTCATCCATAAAAAAAAAACTCTCACGGACTGACTTTTCCTCCCCAAAGTGTCAGCAAGCTGAGGAAACAAGACTCATGTCTGCTGTTGCCAAGTGATTTTCCTCCAAGCCAAAGCAGGCGACATCAGTCATCTGGCTTGCCGCGGCCTAAAGTCACCAATAAATGTCTTACTTCTATGGCACGATTTTTATTTTATTTTGCACTTTTTGCCCTTTAGGTTTGGCTGATGCAGAAGTGTCAAGGGGTAAGCGTTGCAGAGTCCTGCTTCGGGTTGCTTGAATGTGGCACCGTGCCCATCAGTGGCAATGAAGCTCAGGGGCTACAGGGAAAATTACCTTCATCTAAACACGGCCATCTTTGCCCAACATTGCTTCCCCTGAAACTAACATTCTGTGAACAAGAGTTATTTTGAAATACTTCCAGAACCCCGGGCCAGCATGTTCTTCTGTGTGGCCCCAAGAAAAAAAGAAAAAAACAGAGAAAATAAGGGAGGTGTGGAGGAGGGAATGAAAGAAGTCGGTTTTAAATAGCTGAGGCCTTTTCAGAAATGGTTTATGGTAGTGACTGTGCATCCCTCATATTTAAGTGATTAAGCAGAGCAAGGAGGCTGGCAAACAGCCGTGCACATTGTCATCACTCCCTGTTTAATGTGGCCTAGTCGAAGAATTAACTGCAAATAATGACCTTTTTACACACACATCATTCATTTGTTTAATGTTTAGTTACCTCCATTGTCTCTCCCTTTTGTTTCTTCCCACAAATGTTTAAGTGCTTTTCAGTCAGATAAAGCCAAGGGGCCCTGCTGATACAATCTGCATCATTATTATTTCTTTTCGCCATATAATGTTTCGCCTTGGTTGGTCCATCATAGGAGATGTATGCAATGGTATTCCACTGCAGCAGCGGACACCTCCATCCCTCTCCAAACAAAGACAAAGATCCCCTGCATAGCCTTAACAGACCGTTGGGGCAAGTGCTACTCGTGAGCACCTATGAAGGCCGGCACGGCGCACAAGGGGGTGGGCGGCCAGCACCAACGCCCGGCCGCCTTTGTCTCCCTCGTGGTGATGTTTAACACGCCGCACCAGGTACTCATTTGAGGCTGAGTCTACCTAGGGGAGGCCCAGGACCGGGTTCAGATAATGGCCACTCGTGTTGGTGGCCGCGAGCGGGAATCGAACTCGGGTCACCGGGTTCGCAGCGCAGCGTAGCGCAGCACCGCCACTGCAGGACACAGGCGCGCACACCGACGCCACGGTGGGTGGTCAAGCCGCGAGGTCGAGGGGGGAGCCCAACGCAGGGACGACGACGAACCCGCTGGACGCTTCCCAATGCGTACCTCTATTGCAGGGGGGGTGATATTCACGTTGGTCATTGGGTGGGTGGCTGGGCGGCTGGGTTTTCCGAGCGCTCATCGTGTTCACCACCGAGCGGGTTTGTAAGTGACAAAAACGCATCTCGAAATGTGTGTACGGAGCTGAAGAGTTAACTCAAGTTTGCGTCGGGAAATCTCAAGTTTTGAAATTGCCTAAAGGGGCCGTCTGCTGTAAAGTGGACCCAATAACATCGCTCACAACAGCGGGCCAGTGTCTGCTGGTATCACAATCAATACAATTACACCAGTTTAAAATGTTTATTTACATTTCTAAAGAAAATAACTTTTTTACCTAAACAACTACAGAGGTGGCAGGTTCGCACAATGTGCTATGAGCCCGGTGTCCTGAGTGCAAACCAGGCCTGAGTTCAAATCCAGGCCATGG